ACTCTTTATTTGTACATAATCAATACACCGCTGGGAATCCAACCCAGTTACGTTCATATATTACAAGACTAGCTCTGACCATTCAACCATTGTGGGTTAATTTAATCCAACAGTGGAAATCTCTGCTTTTAGTAGTCAAAATAATCAGTCCTCCCATATCTTAGCGATTTTTTAAAAGAATATTTCGTCTGACTTTTTACATTAGGAAGTTAAGGCACTCAGGCATAACTCAACCAACCCCTCATCCTCTTACAGTTTATCAACTCGTGCGTCTTACCTATTCTTCTTTATTGTTCACCCTCATTCTTTCCTGGGTTGCTTAAAAAAGACTTTGTGATACTTCATAGAAATCTGAAAACTGACTGTCAGTAGGACGAGTGGCAGCTATCCCATTGGGCCACACCGTTAACATTGTCGTTGATGATAGGCACTTGGTTTCATGCAACGAATCTGCTAAAGGAATTTTGTCAGACTGTGAGCATCCAGTCTACCTGCAGCTCCAACCTTGTGTCTCCTCAGGAAAAAAAGAAGTCTCTTCAGAAGACTTTATGCACGTACTTTTAAATATAAAATTTCCACTGTATCATATTTTTGGGCTCGTACTTTATGTGCTGAAAGTAGTGTAGGGCATGTACTAACTAACCGTCTTTGCACTATTAAATAAACCATTTCCTTCAACCTTAAAGCATCATACTTTATTGTTATTGTATATCTTATATTTATAATCCTCCCAATTTTTTGTTTTTGTTTATTTTTTTTCATAAGTGTGAACATAATTTAAGCTGTGTTATAACTGTTAACTTAGTCTTTCCCCTGACTATACTTCAATACCCTATAACATGCTAAAATTTTCAAACTGAATCAACAATACTGTTTGAAACAAACTCCCTGTTATTATTATTATTATATTTATTATTCTCACTTCGTACTTCGAATATTTTCGACTTTATATCGTAAACGTGAACAAATTCCTCTGGTTAATTTCGTTTTCATTTTTAATTTTATTTATATTTTGAGTAAATCAGACGCAATACTGTGACAAATGCTTAGAATTACATTCTGTATTATAAGTACTGTTTGTTTTGGAATAAAGTAGATTATTATTATTATTATATATTTGGCCAGAATCCTGACATTCAAAAGGGAGTATATCATATGCATCCGTGAGATCCTTGACAAGACCTTCAACAATACTCTAACTAACAATCAAGAGAGTAACGATCATTGAGTAATTTAAACCAATGTACTCAAAAACGTTTTCAAGGCAATACAGAGATGACGAAGGTAATGAAGATAACCAACCAGCAACGAGAATCACAAGCACCAATCACTATCATAGGGAGATAATTCGCATAGGGTCAGTTCCTTCATTCATCTGGGCAGAATCTTTTCAAATACAAGCATTGAGCACAGACGTGTTTGGCAAAACTAGAATCGGAAAGGTAAGACAGATGTTCATCACTCTGAATTCAGTTCGGAGAACTTCTGCAATCCACAGCGTAACTAGCGAAATTCGGATTTTTGATACCAATGTCAAGTCAGAAACCTGGTGCCAGAGTCATTAAAATCATTTCCAACAAGTTACTGAAAACATTTATCAACAACTACTCAACAACTTCTCTGTCTCCGCACGGAAGGCGAGATAGTCGGCCAGAATGAATTAGCAACAAGGAACTCTGTCGGGTGACGAACCTACCAATAACCTACTGCCCAACACAAATAAGATTTGAGCAAAGAATATTCTTCTCGATAATTTTCCTATTCCCGCTGGACAATTATATATGCTGAAAATTCCATACTTGTACTGAAAATACGGTGTGGAATCAAGCTGTAATGAAAATAAAATAAATAAAAAAATGTATATATGTATATTTATATACACAGAGTATTCCGGAATAATCATCATTAGGAATATTGGTATTTTTTATATACTATCGACTTGTTAGTATTTTTAATATATTTGTGCGTTGAAGTTTCTGTAGCAATTTGGTTAAGTTTTGGGGTGGAGTTGCTAGCACCAGGCTCCAACCCTCCCTCTTAATCCGGGCTTGGAACCGGCTAAAAAACTAACGAGCTGGTCGAAGAAGCAGCATAGACAGGACTCCAGGTGAACATAGACAAGACGAAGGTTATGAAAACAACCAACCAACCAACAACAACAACAACAGCAGCCACAGCCACCGCCAATCACCATCAACGGGAGGGATTTGAAAGAGGTTACTTCTTTCACTTATCTAGGGAGCATTGTCTCAACTACAGGAGGAACGGATGAGGATGTCAAATTGAGAATCGGGAAGACGAGAAACACATTCATCAACCTGAAACCAATCTGGAAATCTTCGTCACTCCTCAGCATCAACAACAAAATTCGGATTTTCAATACAAAGGTCAAGTAAGTTCTTCTATGCGTACGGATCAGAAACTTGACGGCGGGACACAAAGAATATTTCCAACAGCCTGTTGCAGACCTTTGTCAACAACTGTCTTCGCTCTTTACTCAAGATCAGATGGAGGGAAAGAATCACCAACAAGAAACTATGGGAACAAACGAAACAAGAACCAATCGCCCAACAAATTTGCAGGAGAAAGTGGAGATGGATTGCACACTTGCTGAGCAGGCCGCTGGGTGACATCGCGCGTCAGGCCAATGGTCGAGTGGAACCCGAAAGGGAAGCGGTGAGTGTGACGTCCAAGGGTGACATGGAGGAGATCTTGTGAAGTAGAGTTGAAATAGTATGGACTAACATGGATGCAAGTGAAAAGTACAGCAGAAGACAGAAGCAAGTGGAGACGTGCAGTTGAAGCCCAATGCTCCACTAGGAACCCAAGGGGACAATAATAATAATAATCGACTTGTTAAAATCACAATGGAATTACTACAGTTCAAGTAAATAGAATATCATATAAAATTAAGAAAACTTGTATAACAAATTAAGGATCATTAAAAGTCTTATTGAACAGCGGCGTAAGGACAGTATCTGAACCAGCTTCTTTTGGATACATAAGTTAAGTTTCTTAATGTGGGTTCCAACAGCCAACCTCAGCAGTATGTAATAACCGAACTCTTATTGTAAAATTAAGCTCAGTTGATATACGGCAGATAACTTTCAAGGACTTGTTAACATCAATTTTGTGTTCTGTATCTACAAGATGAGACAGTATAGAAATATGAATGGATTTTGTTTCTCCTCTGAATAACCACTATGCAGGATGGTGTTGGGAAACATGCCAGTGTAACTGGTTCTCTCCACAGGAGGAGTCAGATCGATAAATACCTGTAGATGAGACGAAATCAGACTGCAGAACTCAAAATGGAGATGAATCAGACATACACTGAGGAAACTGTTGAGTGACGTCATACTCAAGTCGAAGGTGAATGGAAAACGAGAAGTTGGGCATCTGCCCGATGGTGACATAAAGGAGATCCGTGTGAGTAGCAGAAAGACGCAGAGATAAGAAACTATGAACAGTCAGTGGAGCAGCTACAGAAGGACTGCAAGAAATAGCACAGAGGAACAATAATAATAACGGTCAAAGAGTAAAACTCAACACTATTGACTGTGTACTTTATTGATTGATTTAAAATATTTTATATATATATATATAGATTATAAAGTTACTCAAAAACAACACGAATAACACTCATGACGATAATAAATAAACTCACAAAAGAAAAAATATGAATTCAGGCAAAATAAAGTAAAAATATAAATATAAATAATTGAATCAAAATAAAAGCAAAAGCAATAACAAACAAAATATAACAAATTATTATTGTTATTATTGTTATTTCTTTTTTAGGACCAGTGATGAAAAACAAAACAATTAAAGGAGAGTAATATCCAGATTGCAAAGTGTCTGAAGAAAGCAAAATATGAAAGTTTTTGTTTACAACAGCCAACACTATTTACCATGTGTGTGTCAACATCAGTAACCATGACGACGACGATGTCGACATCGACAACAACAACAACACATCAGGAGAAGAGAACACCCTACTCACTGATGTGATAATATTTTTGCTCAAAAAATGAAGGGAGAACCACGGTGAACCATAATATCATAATAATAATAATAACACCGAACAATAACAAGTACCCCTTTGAAGACAACTGAATAGTAGGCGATCAACACTGGTGAAATATATGAAATTTAATAAAGCAGAAATACTACTACTAATATTAATAATAGTAGTAGTTTATGCGATGAAAAGGCAACGAAAACACATGCACACAGTCTACTCAACACCTCAATGAGAGTAGTAGTAGTATTACAAATATCGAAAAATTTGAAGTAATTAAATAAGCATAATCATGCAGAATATGCAACCAACCAACCAACCAAGCAACAAAATAATAAATAAATAAATAAATATGCAAACAGTAATCTTACTTCATTGAAAAGCTTAGGAAAATAATCATATTCAAGAAATTATATGGCATTGATTTGTAATTGGCGATAAAGGTTAATTACAGATAGATCCAGTGTGCGTGTGCGTGTATGTGAGTGAGTCAGATGACAGTAAACAACAGTCATGATAACAACTCGGTGGAAACAACAACATATCCACTAGCCCACCTCCGGCACACACATCCCCGTGAAACACTCTACATATGCACACACACCCATAGTCAAGTTTGAGTGAATCATTTAGTCAGATAGTTAGTGAGTTAGTCAGTCAATCAGTCAACGGGTGAGTCTGTGCAAAATGTGTACTGTTAATTATTACAGGAGTAAAGATATAGTCCGATGCTATGCATATATATATATATATATATATATATATATATATAGGCAATTAGTGGCAATAGAATCTATGGTCACATTGTTTGAAGGTATGAAATAAAGCTGTTCCTTATGAAGCAACAATAATAGTAATAGCGATTGTTATTATCATTATTATTTCTAAGAATATGAGTGAATATGTATGCAGAACTGGAAGGAAATAAAAAAAGAACTGAAATCAATGCATAAAATACAATATCATATATATATATATATTATGAATCGGAAGTCATAGTTACTCCCCCAGTTGATGGATCCACTTGGTCACTTGGTTTATCTGCTTCGTAGGTTTTCAGACGTAAACGTGCAAAATCTTCAAAGATTAAATCATCATCATCGTCATCACCGATTGTATGACCTTTTCCATTTGTCTGATAACTTGATCTAGTTGTAAAATAAGAAAAAAATGTTTGGGAAAATATCATGAGAAGACTATATTATAATAATAATAATGATTTACTTTATTCCAAAAACAGTACTTGTGATACAGAATTGAATTTTCAGAGTTAATCACAATAATGCATCTTATTTCCTCAAATTATAAATAAAATTAATCACACAGAAAATATTCTACATACAATAGGGATAATGTCAAAAAAAACATGCAGCATATAAAATGGAAATAATAATAATGATAGCAGCTAAGGTAATGATAATAATACAAGTGGAAATTGCTGTGGGCTTGTTTCACACAGTATTGTCGATGCGGTATACAAATCCTTGCATGATTAAAAATATTGAATATAATGTTCTCTTTACATGATATGGTGAGGGAAAAAACAAAGATTACAGCAGTCATATAGATAAGTTGGTGTTTGCAGTTATGAATGTAAAAACAAAGAAGCAACAGGACCGTAAATATAATAGAAATAATAAAAGTAAAAACTTGAGGGTATATAATGATGGATGGAGGAGATTGTTTATTTAGTAGATGAAAAAAGGTTAGTCAATTCTTGCCTGACACAATCTCCTTCACATAACATACATGCCAAGTATGGTATCATAGAATTTTTATACTTAGACGTGCGAGCATACAGTTTTCTGAAGTTATTTCTTGTTCTACCTGAGGAGATGCAAGGTGAAAGCTGAGGGTGAAGTGGATGCTCCAAGTCAGACAAAATCCCTTTAGCAAATTTATTGCACGAAGCCAAGTGCCTATCGACAACAACGTTAACTATGTGGTCCACTGGGACACCACTCACCCTACTGACAGTCTTCAGCATTCTAAGAATTGTGACATAGTCCTTTTTAAGCAAACCAGGAAAGAATAAGGGTGAACAAATAAAGAAGAAGAGGTAGGATGCAAGAGTTTATAAACTGTAAGAGGAGGGGTTGAGTTATACCCGAGTGCCTTAATTTCCTAATGTAAAATGTCAGGCGGAATATTTTACTGGAGATCGCTGAGACATGAGAAGACCAGAAGAGATCAGAAGAGAGAATAAGTCCAAGATACTCAATTTCTGATTTAATTCCTATATCATTGTCATCAATCTCACAACTGTCATGAGAATCGACGGCTTCTTTTAACTGTCGTTTACATCTTAAGCTGAAATTGACAGTTTGACATTTAGAAGGATTCAGTTTAAGACCGTTAGACTCAGACCATTTACTGACTTCCGACAGAAAGCTATTTATTTTGGTACAATCTAGCTGGGAGTTAACAGCCATTGAAACAGTTAAATCATCAGCGTACTTCACAAAATTTATTTCATCAAACTGAGGCAAGTCATGTAAGAAGAAAGAAAAAAGAAAAGGAGAAAGGACAGTGCCTTGAGGGATACCAGCTTCAGTAGGCAATGAAGTGGAAGACTTCCCTTTATATATGGTTATTGCTTTCTTTCTGAGAAATAGGAATGTAACCAGTTAACAGGCCAACATATATATATGTATATAATAATGAGGTTAGTGTGTAGTATTGGATATAACGTTTTGTACTTAAATCGACGAAGATGGTTAGAATATGTGCTAAGAATTTCAGACCATCATCGCCTTCCTCAACGGCTGATGTTAGGCAAGATGGCATCGATTTGGAATTGAAGGACATCATTATGGTCAAATAAAAAATAAAAAAAACATTCCATCAATCCATGAAGTCACTGTCTGACTGTCTGTTCAAGTCATGTAGGAAGGCGTTGACTCTCTTCTCTGTCGGGTATGTCGAGATGCTAAGAATGTATGGCTAGGGACAGTTAGTGATACTGTTGCGAATGCTACTGATAAAATTTATCAGTAGTATACGTGTAAACAGACGTTCATCGGCATAAAAATGTCGCATAGCAGGGAGATAGATTTGACATTAGTCACAGAAGGCAAATGATACAGCGTTGTGGAGACAGATACATGGGGGACGTGAAAGGAAGACAAAGAAACACAACATGAAGTCCAGAAGTACCACAACACGAAGACTTGTGCAAATGATAGGTTGAAGATAAGGTATACATAATTTTGCTATACAGGGATGCCAATTATCAGTTGTACATTCCATGCAGTTATATAACAACAGAAGACAAGGGTCAGGCAATAGATCGTTTATTGAGAAAATCAACAGATATTTATAGATTTTTATGTACATTATTATTAGCGTTAATGTTAGCAGAGAAACAACGTCCTCTGTCTGATTGGATGTTTCCTCGCTTAAAGTTATTCTGTCATCTGTTTGTGGCCATTACTTTGAAGGTCAGATCAGATCAGCTTTCTGAGAATCGTATCCGTCCACGCAAAGTCTGTTGTTATTGGTTATTGAGTTAGTCTTTGTGCTTGTTGTTTGTTTTCTCATGACCCCACGATTTGGGACGTAGACATTGAAGTAAATTGCTGCCTACCAATTTTCACTAGCACACAGCTCTCACCACAATATTAATTCCGTCTCTATCATATCATCCCAACAGATTTTCCGAATCCTTGAGCATAAGGTACGTACTAGGCTTTACTTTTAGATGAATAGGACAAAGTTGATAAATTCTCCAGTCCATTTTGGTGCGTGACTTATATTGATCTTCCGATCAAGTTATCGTGTCGTTTATGGCCTAAAAATCCAATTCCAACTGATGTAAATTTTGCCTTAAACGTTTTTCTTCTGTGCACCAGTGAAGACGTTGGAAACCCTGATTAAAGAAGCCAACTACTTCGCTTACATTAACCTTCATCAGATAAAATGTATAAAAGTCGAATAGTCTACCCCACTGCACCCTTTAACCAATATCACAGTTTTCTTCCCGATTATATATTATTATTATTGTTTCCTTTAGTTCCTAATGGAACGTAGGGCTTCAGCCGTGCGTCTCCATTGCGTTCGGTTCTCTGATAGAGTCTTCAACTGGCTCCAAGTCTGCCCACATGTTTTCATCTCCTCTTCACATGACCTCCTCCAAGTCACCCACTCTTGCACTGACGACCAACTCGCCGCTTCCCTTTCGGGTTCCACTCGAGCAATGGCTTGTCTAGTGATGTCACTTGATGGTTTCCTCAGAGTATGGCCAGCCAATCTATCTCCATTTCTTCCTGCCTATTTGTTTCACAATCGGCTCCTGGTTGGTTCGCTCCCAGAGATCCGTGTGTTGCTGATCTTTTCTGGTCATCTGATCTTGAGTATTGAGCGAAGACAATTGTTAATGAAGGTCTTTAGTTTCTTTGAGATGCTCTTTATGACGCGCAGTGCAAGTCTCTGATCCATATAGCAAGTATCACTAACTTCACATTGGAGTTGAAAATCCGGATCTCATTTTTGATGCTGAATAGTGCTGATGGCCTCCACGCAGACTTGAAAGCAGCGAAAGCTTGTCTTGCTTTCCCGATTCTTTCTTTGATATCCTCGTCAGTTCCGCTTGTAGTTGATACGATGCTTCTCAGGTAGGTAAAGGAGGTTGTTTCTTTCAGGTTCCTCCCATTTATGCTGATTGTTGTCTGTTGTTGTTGTTCTTGTCCAGGAATCTTCATCATCTCTGTTTTCTGTAAGTTTATCTGAAGTCCTATCTTTGATGCTTCTTCTGCCAACTTGTTGCTTTCCACTTGCATATCTTCCAGTTTGTGGGAAATCAGACATATATCATCAGCGAAGTCCAGATCCTCCAATTCTTTTGTGTGAGTCCATTTTATGCCTGTTTCCTCATTGACCGCTGTTTGTTGCATTATCCAGTCTACTGCAATTAGGGAAATCATTGGCGATAGTGGCAGCCTTGTCTTACTCCTGTCCCCACTTCGAAGGATTCCGTAAGTTTCCCGTTGTGGACTACTTGGCATGCAGCATTGTCATACAACTGTTGGATGAGATGTATAATTGTCGGTGGCACCCCGTAGTAGCGAAGTAGTTGCCAAAGCACCTCTCTTCTGGAAATCAATGTCAATGTCAATATCACAGTGAAGACGTTTAACTTTCGAAAGTAAAAATTGAATTCATCCGAGAAAAATTGAGAGAATTCCACAATTGATTGATTCAATGCCAACAATGTGACTGACAATGAAAAAGAATGTAGAAACCATTGCGAATATAAATCACATAGATAGCCAAATAAAAAAAATTATCGATGTGCTTTTTTTCCTTTTTTTTCTATCAGGTGTTGTTCATTGGGGGGGGTGGGGGTGGTCAGTAATATGAATGCGGTATATGTAGGAGGAGTGTTACACGAAACACGTGATTCAATCTTTCGTCCTTGTGATGCCATATCGATCAGTGAAGTGATAATCAATAATTAATCACATGAACAGTACATTGCACAAACATTTCTCCTTGTGTTAGTATTTTGCTGAGACGATTTGTGAATATATACAGCATACAGTTACTTTTATAAGGCTTATATATTCTTTTTAAAAATGCACTTTTAGGAAAAGGCTTTCAATTATTCAACTCATTGTAATCTTCAGAAGTTCTGTTCAGTATGATCTCCATATTTCGCGAGATTATTATGATTATTATTATTTAATCCCCACACATATGGTCAGGGTTCGATCCCTGGCCAACGCATTCCTAAACCTCAGCTAATAGTATGCACGCTAAAGAGGAAAGGTTGGCTGCGAGACTGGTAACCTCACCAGGTAAAAATGAAACCACAGTAATTGCATTGGTGGCACAGCGGTAGAATACTTGTCAACCGCGCAGGTGGTTCGGGGTTCGATCCCCAGCCAAAACACTCCTTTACCTCGCCAAACCAGTATTGTGACTGGCAAAGAGGGAAGGTTAGGCATGAGGCTAACAATCTTATCGCGTAAAAATAATCATCACTGCTACAGAAACTTCAAGCCTGAAGCTTGAAGCCCTTGTTATGTTACGTTCCCCTGAGAACGTAAAGGAATTAAATCATAGAGAAAACTCTATAATACTTAAAAAGGCATTCTGATGACCCACTAACTGACTGAATGACTGACTTATGAATTGAAATAGGACTTCA